TGCCGTGATCAGGTAGCTATGATGTCGTGAACGAGTATTATGAAACAAATTGTTATGTCACTCCGCATCGCCACCCATGCTATACCAAAATCACTAATCTGACTAGAAAACATGTTGTTAAATGTGAATCAGCTGATCAGCGAAAATAGAAGTCTACCTCGATACGGGATCCCAGAATATCATTGTTGCATTGAGAGTTAATTGTGCTGATACAGTTTTCTGTCATTTGGGTGGGGACTATTTATGGGTACTAAACAAACTGGCCACAAAGATATTGATCTTAGGTATGCCAACATTTCTCCCTGATGATCTAATACTTTTCGAACTATCACATTGCGGAAAAGTTTTAAAAATAATTAACCAAATCATGTGAAATTCTTTTGTAGATCAGTGTTTGATATATTGGATAGTAAGCTTAATGTGAGCACAACTTTTTATTGATCATCGGATAAACAGCAGAAAGAGAATGCGTACTGTTCCACTAGAAATTTGCATAAATCAAATACAACATGAATTTGGATATTATGGCCTTCAGCAGAATATGGGAACTTCCGTATAGATATGGGCTGTCAACAACAAACGATGCAACCCAATTGGCAATCAGCTTGCAATGAACCTTTTTTTCTGTGCGTTGTTTAACTTATTCAATCCAATTTTCTGTTTTAGCTGTCCTGGCTGTTTCATCTTTTATCCAATATATTTACATCCTTCTCTCACAGTCTCGTATTTTTGACATATTGTAAATATGAATTCTTAGTTCCTTGATATTGTGAAATGGTACAATGTCATAAAAGGATATTACGAGATGAGTATGATAAGCATTACAAAGCCGTGAATGGTTACGATGATGTCATTAATGGGTATGTATGATGATGCCGAGATATTGTTTTATTGGTATGACGATGTTATGGTATCGTGAATGATGTACCGTGATGCGTCATGAGAGGAATCCAGCTGTTCAGAAGAATAAATTGTACACTCATTGCGCCACAAAACGCCTTTCGAAATGACGTATAGTGATGCTGCCTACGTCGACTAGATGGTAATATCGAATCTCGAACATCAGAAACAAGAATATTAAGATCTATATTACCAATAACAACTTCAGCGCATATAACCACATTAGTGCTTATTATTAGTTTTACTTTCTGACACCAGGTATACCTACTTATCAAGATTATTCGATTACAGTATTTATTCAAGCAGTGATCACAAAAGTTTTTGGGATGTCAGATGCCTTGCATTGTTCATCACTGATTCAGGTATTATTTGATTAATTTAATACGGCAGGAGAGTTGAGTAATGTAATTGATAAACTAACTCGACAAAAACTTTCTGAATTATCAGGGTCATATCAATTGCAGCCTTCAGTAGTTGTCTCACTTTACACAGCAGCGCACAACAATTTTGCACTAGAAACCATTGTGTTCTTTGATCATGCATGCCGCATATTGGACTCATTTCTCCTGATGTGATATTGATGTGTTGTGTGTAACTTTCTTTTTATGACGCATATCACATCCTTTGGACTTGCTCGAATTATTTTAATTTATACTCGTGTGAAATATTTTACTTAATATCTTTACACAATTAGATCATTTTCGTGGCGGGATTGTGAGCGATAGTGACCTCAAATGTTATATGCCAAGTGATGTCATGCTGCTTCGTTTTTTGGGGAAAGAAAAATTAAAAGAACTGTGATACCCGCGTTAGTTAAATTCATTTGTAGAGGTGGAACAAATTTCGGAAACGTGACGTCATCAGACGTTTATTAATTGTTAATCATTATTTCATTACCAAAATGATTTTTTCGAATTTTAAGTATTTTTTTTAATTCGTGAACCATAGAATATGTGCTATTAGAGGTGTATTCGACTCGGAATAACGGATTTTGTCTAATTTTACTATTTACATTAATTGATTAATAAGTGTGTATATTGTCCTATTTCAGGCGAATATCGTTTTCCAATGACAATATGTTTCCATAAAAAGTGCGACAATGTCTTATTCATTGCGCGCGAGAATTTATTTCTTGCTCGTACAACTCTAGCTACCACTACAATGATAGAAGAGCTCGCAATGGTTTGTCCTGGCGATGATGGTTACGGTGAGTGTGCCTGATATCAGTATTTATTCACACGCATTTGTTCATATTTACGTATTCACAACCAAGTGATATTGATTCTTCGCTATATAAGGGCGATATCACGTGTACTAATGATTTTGTTTTTGTTTTGTTTTTTCATTGAATGTTGTCATTTTTGCTTCAAAACTAATTTTTATTTCACGGTAAATAATATATTGTTCCTACCAAGAAAATCCAATAAATTATACTTCAAAATGTCAACATCTGAGCTTCGATTGCTTTGATTTATCGGTCTTTTCCATGAATCTTATGAATATTCACCATGTCTAAATGTGATTATTTCGAATGCCTTAAGTCTGAATGGTCCCATCTGGGGCAGGGAGGGTTCAAGACTTTCTCGTCAATGGTTGGTCATTTGGTGTTCATGGTTCTGGTCTATAATAAATGTCATCGCAATATTTTATAGAGGGTGTATCAAACACGTTATGACCTGAAATATTATTGTGTAATTCAGATAGCGTCGAGGTATCGGCCATGTTCGTCTTCGATGAGCATGTTCTTCGATGGTACAGTTATTTAGTATCTTATATACGAATTATTTATTAAGCTCACATTCATACTCTCCATATATGTAATAAACTTCACCCTATGCGAGAAATGTGTGTTACTAGTGTTGGAAATCCAGAATAATCTCTATTTTTTTTCATCATTGTCTCGAACATTCGATATCATAGATATCCTTTCTTAACAGTTCACTGTATCATATTGATTCAGACACCTAGTTCCATATCTTACTTTACCCTGTCCGACATTACCTTTACCAATTAAATCCTCTTTGAATAGCGTCTTTGCCAACATGCATTTATACCATTTAACATGTGGTCCAGGGTATTTTTGTATAACTTGTCTCCAATGCCCCCCCCCTCTCCAATGCACATGTATATCGTATAATTAATATAACTGCATTTATATGTCACCAGCAAGCGGAGGTTCGGTGCCCAGTGAGAAGAACGCATTTCTTATTCTGTTAATATCGATGGTACATTTCATCATGTGATGGATGTGATAGAAGACCTTTAATCAATAAGTCATTTTAAAAATTGTGTGTGTTTTTAAATATCATTATGATTTTCATTTTAACTGTCGATTGATTAAGCTGATGTTCATGCATGTCTCTTTGACAATAAACTATATATTATGTTTCCTTTTTATCGTTTTCATACATGTATTTTGCAATTCAAAACTAAAGTGATTTTCTTTTGTAAAGTATTATATATTTATTACATTGAAATATACTAATAAAGTTGATACTTTCATCATGATAAGACTTACTTTTCTTTGTACCTTTGGTGCCCATAAATCTAATAAATCTGACAACAATAGGATTGTTTTACTTATTAGTGTTCCCTCAAACATTTTGTTTATGGCAAATGCTACAAACAACTCATCTGACCCCAATATAGGGAGATGTGCGCTCTTATTACACGTGAACTTCGTCAAAAACTGGGCAGAAAGTACATAGTAATTTCAAAAATTCGTGTACATGAAAAAGATGCTACACCACACAAACACTTATACGGTATAAGCTGGCAATTCTCCAAATAAGGGGTGGTTAATTGGGACCATTTTTCAGACAGTGTTGGTTCAGTGATTACCATTAAATACTGATTAAGGAATACAACAATCGAAAACACGTGTATTCCTTTTACAAATCACATTTTATTTCCAAGTCGTGGACCATAAAATATGTTGTTAATGTTAGAGTGCAAAAATTCTTCTTTCATTCATTTAACAGTTGGCAAATTTAATTCATACTCGCATTATGTAATTATTACAAACCACATCCCAACATAGAGATGCTAACTAAAATCCAGTAGTTGCAACAGTGTAATACCAACCATGATTAATAATATAATTTTAATATATTGCATTAATTTATATATTTACCAAATCGCTTCACTTCATCAAGTAGATGCACTATTTTGTGCTCAGGTCCATGTCTCATGTGTAGGCTAGATACCGTCTATGATCATGCGAGTTTGAAAAACAAATCTACGAATAATAGACTAGTGAATCGGAGTGTTGTTAGCGGGCCTTACGTACGGGGAAGTCTACCCATGCTGGTTCCCATGATAATGTACTGAAGTCGTGGAGATAGTTGAAACAAGTAAGCTTATTGCGTGGCCAAAAATGAAAGACGGTATCTGGATGTTTGAACAATCACTACAATCTACGTTGCCGTAATTCGAAGTTATGTTAACTGTTAATTAAAATTCGGGTTACTGAATGTGGACGTTAAACAACAACAAATTCTATGTTGTCCGTAACTCGAACTTCGGTTAACTATTAATTAAATTTTGAGTTACTAACTCGAAGTTTGAATAACTGTTAATTGAAATTCGAGTTACAAAATTTGAAAATTGAACAAAACAAAAAATGTATGGTACGAGTTCGAGTTACTGAATGTGGACGTTAAACAAAAAACAAATTCTATGTTGTCCGTAACTCGAAGTTCTGTTAATTGAACATAGAGTTACAATTTGGGCGTAGTTTTAAAAAGTGGGTGTGGTCATTTCTGTAACTCGATGTTTTCGTAACTCGATGTTTTCGTAACTCGATGTTCGTAACTCGATGTTCGTAACTCGATGTTTTCGTAACTCGATGTTTGTAACTCGATATCCGTAACTCGAACAATTCAGCTTCTCTTATATACGACGCGTGGCGCTATTCGTGTTTATTTTACAAGTTTATTGTATTTGGGTTACGATTTTACACTACGTTTAGATTGTAGGGTCATGCGCCGTCGTTGACATGACTGGTCCAAATTTGAACTTTTTGCCTGTATGTCCGATAAGGATTTTACACCAATCAAAATTTATCTCAGGTGATATATTAATTTCAGATTTCGGTTTAGCTTCACTGAAATCAAAAATGAGATAACAGACGACACAAGCTGAGCCACATCCCCAGTAGTTTTAATTCAGTGGGCCACACCGAACTCAGAGGGCGCAGTCCCTCTTAGTGCTGAGTATAAGAGTTGAGCAATTATCAGATATTTGTCACGAAATTACTGAACAGTTGAATAGTGTGGCACGTAACTGGGTCACAATTCCAAAAAATACGGTTGGTGTGGGTATGTTTATGGTCTACGTGAATCACAATTATAGACAATCCTCTGATGCTGGGCCGTCAGTTGCATTTTTCTTTAAAACAGGGTTGCGCTAAATAGTTCGACAGATACGATACCCGCCCTCTATCGTAGAAATTCTCGACTCTTCCTGTACTAGTTGAAGAAGTGGCGGATGTAGCGGATTTCAATGAGTCTGGACGCCCTCTTAAATTCACAAATTACATTAAACGTAACTTGCTGTGTGAAATGAGTTGTAGTTTGAGAACATGTAATCACTTTACTACAAACACTATATGGCCGTATATATTTTCATATTAAACAATTTTTAAACATTTGAGTGTTTAATATAATTATGTGAGTACATGTGCCTAAAAAAAGATGTACATGATCAAATAGTTTGTAATATATTATTGGATATAAGTAAAATATTCATTGTATAACCTGGAGAAAACATAGAACATTTTGGTTTTTTTTTTTGGTTTTTTGGTTTGTTTTTTTTTTTTGGTCTTTTTTTTTTTTTTTGGTATGCTACATTTATTATATTTACCCATAAAGATACGATTATAACTCCAAGTGAATTGAATTTGAAAACGGACATTATTTGTAAATAATTATTTTTGTTTGAATCCTGGAGAAAATGTATATTGACAAAATGCATAATTTTGTGCGATTATTTATGATTTCGCCCAAGAACCTCATTTAATATGGTATAACGATCATTCAAACCAAAACACAATTACAATCCAACCAGAAAACATCTTGGCTTATTAAATCTGTCATGATGTATCAAAGGAAGACATGGATTAATAAAGTTACACCTCTTTTGAAATGGTGATCACACTTCGGATCGAAACCGCAACGGAAATGGTTAATGTCATACTAAGACAGTTTGTGTTAAAGATCATATCCGAGACGGTCAATATTCACTGTAATCATCATCAAACTTGCTTTTCAAGACGTTTTCTGAGGCAGCAGTCTTTAATGTGAATTTTGACAGGTATAAGCACAGGCCTGCAAGCTCGAGTCGGTGACACTGTTTGTCGATCGCAAGTGTCACATTCACTTTCTCAGTGGTGTGTGGTCATTTGGATTGATATTTTATCGAATGATGTTTGAATCCATCTATTCTCTCAACATATGTAGTGTAAATCATTCTCTCCACCATGTACATGTGTTGCCAAGATCGCGAGTGTACGTGCAAGTGGCGTAAATATTGCCACAATCAATGATGCTCGGAAAAGGAAAAATGGTTTTCGAATTTTACTTTTGGTCTATTCGCATTCCCAGTAAAAAAAAGTCCAAATTCAAAAACTACGGATTTGTGTTCAAACTTCTATGAGTTTTAGATAGGAGCAGTAATTCAATTTCGTAGTTAGATACATATTCAGATGCCAGGGGCCAAAATATCGGCGATGAAGGCATAAGCCAGTGGGGTAAGAAAATATATTTCAAAAACATAGTTTTGAGGAAGTTTCATTTTTATTATATTGCACGTTGATGAAAAAAAGAAACATTAATTTAGGATATTCAATCGACGAAATCTATTTATAAACCTATTCACATTGCGTTTTCAATAAAGAATATACGCGTACAATAAGTAGTTCACTCAGTGCAATTCGACTTCTTGGTCATTCGGATACTAAAGCGCCCTCTATAGGTTAATTATCGATATTGGGAACGTTGATAATCCCATTCCCAACCCTTGAGATAACGTGCATGGCTACGTGGACTGGCACATTCACAGTACCAATTAATGCCTTGTGAAAGTACATAAAACTACCATATCTCGAACGCACCGCCAATTAAGATCAGAATTCCGTGGACAGTCTGCGCCAACTATTTTTTAAACTGCATAAATTCGGAGTTTACTGTGTCCGATGGTTAGGCGGGA